ATAATCTGTAGTATATTTAAAGTGAAGAAATGTAAACAAAATAAATCATTCAAATACAGTATTTTTTGTTTATCAAATGGCTTTCAAGTAAATACACAAATGTTTTTTTCGATTTTATTTAAACTCAATGGTTTTACAGTAAAATGTATGATGCTCTCTGAACAGAAAACAGAAAACAGTGTCAATTACTGAAATAACTCAACTGTCACCATCTGTGTCACAGATGAGGTGATAAGTGTCTGAAACATGCAGCAGTAAAAGAGTCACTGAAAGAACCTGAACACCTACTCTGGACATTTTAAAGAGATTTAAAAAATATTTTTTTTGTCACAATCAGGATCAGAATACTTTATTTATCCCAGAGGAAAATTACAGGTAGTACAGCTGCAGCCGTTCAGATCAGAGAAATGTGAAAAGAAAGAAAGAAGCACACTAGAATAAAATAAGTATAAACTCCCAGGATTATAAAATAAGCTCACTCATGTATAAACAATGTACTATAAAAATAATAGTAATATTAAGAAAATGTGTACATAACGAGAGATGGTTTGGTATATTGCACATGTTCGGTGAGTGTCATGGGTAAAATACAGCAAACTAAATATCAAATAAAGACTAAAAACAATAAAATGTACAGATGATCTAGTTTCATGTGTTTAGGGAGGAGTTATAGAGTTTGATGACCACTAGTCTTTTTTCCAAGGTGGGAATGGAAACAGAGTGTTGGTGTCGTGGGTGGATACTTTTAAAAATAACCAACCAGTGCACCGCCATTTGACTGGCTACTAATTATGGACACTCATCTTCTACACAGCAGCATCCCGTCGTCACAGCAACCCTGCACGCTTGCAGTGTGGGTGCACGAGGACCTCTTGTGTGARCTCTTCGCTTCATCCAGAATCGAGCCGTCCTCACCGGGCTGAACCGACAGAGTGAAGTAAATGGACGAGGCGTTCAACACAAACGTTCTGTGGAGCAGAAACAACCTGCTGGGCTGTGATGAAGTGTTGACTCATTTTAAAAGCCCACAGTGATTCTGTCCAAGAGACACATCGGCCGGAAGTCAAAGGTGTCCCCGCACACTGAAGACGTCCACGGCTGACTCACCTCAGAGGGATGAACCTGAGGGCAGCAGCTCTGACATCCACGTCGAACAAAAYCCCTTCAGTGACTCAAAGCAGGGGGTCATCTTCTTGGTAAACTGGTCCTTTGGGATGAACCTGATCAATACTGTCTTATTGGTTTTGTCAGGGTTTATCATCGTCTGGCGCTGAAGGCAAAAAGCCAGTAATCAGTGTGCATTYCCAATGCAATGTACACTATTGTGATTCATTTCCCATCCAAGTCATCTCAACTTTGGCATGCTTCTCCTCCTGCATACTTTGTCCTAGAGCTGCCATTGTAATTTATATCTGTAAAGCCCCTGTTCCAAATGATGGCTATGCCTTTTGGTGCCTGTGAAACCTATAGTTTATGAAATATTAATGTTTCAAATTTCAAATTAGTGACAACCATTACATTGGCAATGTGGCCTCTTTCTGCACATATACAAACCAACCCCTGGAACGGTTTTCTGCCACAGRACCAATAGTCTAATGGTTAGTGCCATGGGCTTTGATGTGAGAGATCAGGGTTTGAAACCCAGCAACAGTAACTTTAACAGAAAATCTCTACAAACTTCATATTGTCACACAATTACCGTTGTTACAAACACCTGCTGACTTGACAAGCTCAAGCTGTTATAGAAAACACATTTGAACTTGGTCACACTTCATTCTGCAAGTCCATTGCTGAAGGCAATGACATGCTACATGGCAACGCACACTTGTTTTTACATCGTAAAAACCCATGTCTAGTGTTTTCTTTGTCGTGTTAAATTTAGCAAAAGCTCTCATGTAAGAAACTTTAATGACATTCACACAAAAAACTGAACGTTTGGAGCCCACATCATCCAAGATGGCTGCCACAACCAAACATGGATCCGTTGGTTATTCGTAGACAAGAAATTAAATGTTTTAGCAAAAATGTCAAATATTTTGAGGCCAAACTAGAAGGAGGGCCACAAATCCAACACTTTTTGTTAAGACACACGTAAGTTTTATTAGTAATCAGAAGATAGATGACTGTGCTCAAATAGCTGAAAAAATGCTAAAATATATATATTTTTTTGTTTCAAAACTAATTTCAGTTTGGTTGTTTCTGAAGAGATCATCTGGCGTCCCTCAAACGTGAAAGCAGAACATCAGAGGGGGTAACGCTGTATAAAATCAAAAGTAGAGGCAAAAAGTAATTAAAAAAGCCATATTTTTAAAGAAATGCATTATTTTAATTAAAATGTGTTTAAAATGGGTTTCAATGAGTCATTCCAAAAGGTCGTAAAGCAACAGTGAAATACAAAGTTTGGTTCCTGACAGACCTTTCTGAGAGCTCATGTAAAATCAGGCATTAGCTAACAATCATTTTACGTAAAGCAGATTATATAAATCAGGATGAAACTGGTGTTATTAGCAGAAGAAACAAAGGAGTGTGAGGTGGGAGTGAAGCTACAGCAGCTCTTTTAACAACAATAAAAGCTTTATCACTTGTGTAACCTGGGGTCAACGAAAGGTCAGAGGTGGAGCTGCCAGAGTCCCTGAGCAGGACCATCATTTATGTCAGGTCTGAATAAAACCCAGAGTCCCCCCCACACACACACACACAACTGCCTTCCTTCCTTCACCACCCCCAGCAGGGGCTCAGTTCTCTGGAGGCCTGCAGCCTTCATCACCCGAGCTCTGCTTCCTCATCACTCATCATCATCATCATCACGGTGAAGGAAGGTGGGGTCTCTCTTCACCGGGGCGTGGACCTCTTCCTCCAGCTGGAGTCTCGTTGCGCGCAAAGAGAAACGCGTCAAGGTGGATGGAAAAACACAGAAACGCGCCGGTGAACGGAGGGCGACGCCTTCAAAATAAAAGCACGCTTGTAGGATCTTCAAACGTTTATCATTTCTGAAACCCAGGTGACTGGAGTCTATCCTGGACAATTAAGGATTTTTTTTTTGTTGTTGTTTGTTGGAGGAAACCAGAGTGCCCAGAGAAAACCCACATATGCACGGGTGGAAAATGCAAACTTTGCAAGCCTTTTGTTAGTAAATTAAAAAGTGATGTCCCCAAATGTTCAACTATAATTCATTATTAACCCAATTCAAGATAGCCTCCACAGCCAACTGGGCCTAGACTTTTTTTTTTTAGATAAAATGAGCTAAAATTTGTTGTGACAGCAGCTGAAAGTCATTCTCAACATGTCAATCAAACATTATTAAACTCCTGAATGAAAGGCAGCGGGTGACATGCATCCCTTTAGCTTTCATTTGAGAAACACAGCAGGAGTCAGTGCTCACATCACGACCTTAATTTACTTTATTTAATTTACCAAAGGGGGAAAAAAAGACAGTTTCTGTCTCCAACCGGATGCGCTCGTGCGTCATTACGCAGCGCTTCACCGCCGCCGTCAGGACTCGGTGCGGCTGCAGGGAGGCAGCTGTTGCCATTATTTTATACCAACCAGCTCAGATCCATCCATCAGCGGCTTCTCCGTTCCTGGACCACCCCACCGCAAGAACCTCAACAACACTAACAACAAACAACAACAACAAACAAGCAGAGAGATGAGACTGTCGGCTCCGTCATAAACAAACTGCAGCAGATTCTCTGAAAGTAAAATCAAATGGTCCAGAAAAGTAGTAGTATGTCCAGGACGCCTTCGACCCCGAACCAGGAGATCCCGATGGGCATGATCGACCCCCATCCTCACGCGCAGGTAAGGGGAAAAAAACTCGGATTTTACACCCCAAACAAAAGCGCAAAATTACCGCGTTTTCCACGACGCTTCACTTCTGATTAACAGGTTGTTGCCTCTCGAGCCTGAAACGCGCTCAATCCTGAAAAACATCCTTTTAATCCAAACAATTCACACTAAACGAAGCCTTTTCTCCTCCCAGCAGATCGTTTTATTTACAGCAGCAGGTTTGATCTGAACCGTGATGTAACGCTGATCCATGTCTGCCACACAGTCTGAGGAAAAACACATTTTCTGTTTAATTAATGTGTAATTAAATGAGTAGAACTGGAGCTCTAACCAAATGGAAATTACTTTTTTATACCTCTTATTTGGGGGTGCCAAGTGTAAAATAATATATTTAAAAAGTCACAATGACATTTTCATTATTTCTGAATGCAAAACCCCTAAAAATTTCCACTGACARTTTATTGTTATTTAGCTCACTGTGCTTACGTTTTGCTAATTTGTAGGCTAATAAATGTTGAATGTAAAATAATGCATGCAAATTCTAAATCATAATTCTAAATGTAAAAGTTGAACCTTAAATGTGGATGTTTACATTTCTGGAACGGAACGCTTTTTTCTGTGCTTCTCTCGTGTTATGATGTCATCATCCTGCGACAATAGCAGCTGCTAACGCAGCTAAGGCTCATTAGCTAACGCTAACTGCTACTATACATTCCATTTCAAAATACTAATTTCAACATTTAACCACAACATTCTAACAATAAAATGTTAGTGGAAAATTTATGTTTTTAAATGAGCTAAATAATTAAAATGTGTTGACTTTTTTCAAACATTTTATTTTACACTTGTCACTTATGTTTAACACCAGTTTTTGACTTTTAAGTTTGTTTTAATTGATTTAATGTGCCTAATTATAAAGATGATTTTACTTTGGTTTTTAGGTTTTTATTACATCCTGTTATGTTTTATTTATTGTAACCGTTTCTCTAAAATAACTTAATTCACCTTTTAAATCTGCTGGAAAGAGATTAAAACTGATGGGTTAAAACCCACTTTGTAACCCTGGTTAGTTTTAAGTCGGCAGTGTTGGGTTAACATACAGGGTCAAGTTAATATTGGGTTAAAATGACCAATTTGTTCAATCAAAGCTAATAAAAAGTTACAATAGAACAACGCTAAAAGGCATTAGTTGGTGCTAATAGCGGTTAGCACCAACCGTGCTTTTATATGAACCCTAATTGATTGTCTAAAGTTGATCATTCAGATATATGAAATCATTTTTAGTGCTTTCTCCACATTAAAAGTTATTTACAGTAGTTACAGTATTTTTAAAGCCTTATTTAGGCATCAGATTTTTGGAAGTGATATGGTGTTGTGGGGATGTTTAGTCATGACTCTTTAAACTGATTAAAATAAAATAAAAAAATCTGATTATATAGAACAAACACACCCACGCTGCGCTCAGTCATTGTCTCTGTAGAAAAGAAGAAATAAAAAACAGCTCATCACAGACAACCAGTGCTTCAAACCATGCCAAGTCCTGCTCTCTCCTCTTTTCCTCCCACTCTTCCCAGCTCCCCTSTCATCCCCCTCAGCTCCTCTGATTCCTTCTACGAGTGGCCCGCTATGTTCTCGCCATCTCACCTCGTCATGTCTGTTTTTAGAAATCAGATTTTTTATCTGCTGAGAGGCTTCAGTGAGAAACAGATGGACAACCTCCTGGTGCAGGCGGCATGTTTTTTTTATTTATTTTTTTACGTGCACAGCGCCTCCTGTAAATCAAACACAACATTTAGGAGTCTGTAGCTCAGAAACAGAGAAAGTGCAGCACTAATGTCTACAGGGAGGTGGTCCGAGTTTCTGCCACAGAGGAAGAAATGAACCCTCATTCAAATTCAGAGCTGGAGGGCGTCATAGATTAAAGATCCTGTCTGCTGATCGCACTCAGATTGCAGATCAGTGTGGAACTCTGAGCAAGAATAAAGGCCCAGAAATCCTCGAAGAAATAAATATCACACGCCACCTTTCACATCAGAGTGCCTAACACCATTGTCCTTTTGTTGGAGAACATAGGTGATCCATATAAACTTTAAGGTGCTGGTGAACATAAAACTGGGGAATATAAGTACCGGGAAACATAGGTACCGGTTATCAAAGGTACGAGTAAATGTTGGTATCGGTGAACATGGCACTGGTTGTCAAAGGTACCAGTAAACGTAGGTACCAATTATCAAAGGTACCAGTAAACGTAGGTACCAATTATCATAGGTACCAGTAAACGTAGGTACCAATTATCATAGGTACCAGTAACCATAGGTACCAATTATCATAGGTACCAGTAAATGTAGGTACCAATTATCATAGGTACCAGTAAACGTAGGTACCAATT